TCAGCCTTTTCCAGTCCGACATAGTATTCAAGGGGGATATATGGCTTGGGTTGTGTGATCTGAGCGGACCAGGGGTCAATGATATTGTTGTCTGAGGTACTTCGTTCAAGCGTGGCTGAGCGTAATGCATTTGCCTTGCTCTCTTGTGACTTGAATATTTGGTCTCCTATGATGATTAGAGGGGAACGCAATCCTGCTGACAGCTTGTGTCAGGAAACGATTCTATTCAGGTCTTTTAGTTCAGTCGCTGAATCAATTAAAGTCTGCCAGTACTCTCTCCTAGCTTTTTGAACCACGTGGCAAAATTCCTGTTGGGCTGAATTCCGCCTTTCTTGGCTTATGGTCTGTTTGAACAAGGCCCTGTATGTCTGAATAGCTGCTTTGTATTCATTATTTCACTAAGCAGTGGGCCTAGATTGTCGGGGCTTCTTGCCTACTGTTCTGACGCAGCCTTGGATTATGTTGATCAAGTTCTTTGTGAAGGCATCTACCTGGCCAGGGGATGCACCCAGCTAGGGGAGCTCGCGAATCCTGTTTTGGACATTGTTCACCAGCTCTTATAGTTTATCGTCCGGGACTATTCACCCATTAGCCTTGGGGACCCGGTCCAGGTCTCTGTGAATTGGGACAACTATTTGTAATGTCTCGTGATCTGAGGTGCACTGGAGTGCATTATTCACTGAGGCTTCAGCCATGGGGATATCTGAGAAAACCAGATCTAATACATTTCTGTTATCATGTGTCGGGACATCTAGTTCAGAAATCAGATCCAGTCTGTGATCTGCCATAGTCTACGCAAGTATAGCTGTCACGGCGAGCTTACTGAGGAGCTGGGACAAGGCCGGCAGCAAGCAGCTATTACTCTATTAACGAGAATATCAAGACTAGAGAGGAAAGGAAAGAGAGAGAGAGAGATAGATACAGTGGGAGGTTGCCCCTTTAAGGGGATCCTTTAAGGGGATCCTCTGGTCAGATCCTTCCTCTATTGGGAAGTATCCACTTGTCATGTGGGAAGGTCTGTGCAGGCCGTCACAATAGCATCACCATGATATCCTGGATTGCTTGAGTCCCAGGATGTGTTGCCAGTATTAAAATTTCCGGCTATGACACAGCCAAAGGGTGGAGTCTTTACTTCCAAAATGTCATCCACTTCTTGCGGGTTGTCGCATAGTCGGTAAACGCTGGCAAATATAATGCCTTATACCTTGACACAAGTGATGTCTCGTGTAACGTAAGGCCGAAGTTGATCCGCTTGAAAATATTTTCTCACCTAGATAAGAGATCTGGGTCGTGTACTGTCGCTGTCCCAGGAATCAACCGGGGAATATATATCATAATTTGGGTGTGTCTTTACTCCTATTCTTTTGCCTGATAGGGTGCTGACCTAGGACTCTTGTATTAGAATGATGTCTGCTTGCTCTCTTTTATAGTCAGCCAGGTTAATGGCTAACTCTGTAGGACATACACTCTTTTGTCCTCTTGATGTATTCATAGAATAGATGACCAGGTGCGCGTGTCGATGTGTTTGGTTTGATGTACTTAGCATTGACGGATAACAATGGTGTTGGCATCTCTGGGATGAGCTGTATTTGTTGTGTCGATTTACATTGTGATGTCTTTGTTATTGTTGCTAGGCGTTGACCCAGCTTAGTTTCTGCCTGTTTCATTGTTAGTCTTGGATCTGGCTCTTTCTCCAGCCAGCCTTATTTCCTGGATTTGCTCCCATGTGTGCTTATGGATGATACCTTTCATGAACTTGGGGCGTGCAGGACATTTGTTAAAGTCGGCAGCATAAGGCCCCTTGTAGCTGACACACTTTAGGATTGGTTTTTTGCACTCCTTTTGGTGTACTGTGTTGGCGTAACATGCACATATTTGCTTTTCACATCGGTAGTTTCTACCATGGTATCTGAAGCAGCTCGCACACTGGTGAACCTTAGGGGTGTATTGAATGTGCCTCGAGGTCATTAAATGAGCAAAAAGTGTAAATGGTTTCTTTGCTACACAGGGCAGAGAGATCATCTATATGGTCTCTAGATCTGAATCAACCGTGTTCCTTGAGAGTATGTACCTTAAAGATCTCTCGCCTGCTTGGGCTTTAACCTTATTAGTGACAGTAGTGTCGGTAATATTGATTGTAAACCCTTCCGCACTGATGACCTTCCTTGGGCATCTATCAACCTTGTAGTGACATCAGACCGTATGGGTTTTGATCTTTTGTGCCTTAAAAATGTCGGCGATCTCTTTTAAAAGGCCAGGAGCTTAGTCTGAGTTGGCTTGTCCCTTGAGTATAAGATAAATTTGGAGGGGTACCGCGTTGCCTCTCTAAGCTCCTAGGGATAGAGCTTAAGTCTTCTGTTCAGTGTAGACTTTATCCCATAAGGTTCTAAGTGGCTATTGTCTATACGGACAAAGACCGGGAGATCATTCTGTTTCTTCTTTAGTTAGTTGGCAGTAGTAAGGGCGCCAGGCTGTGTTTTCTTTATGATGGTGTTGACTGTCAGTGAATGCTGTCGGTGGTTAAAGGAGACAGCTTGGACAAAAGTCATGGTGGGCTTCTCTATCACCATCCCCCCGGAAGTGGCCTTCCTTATGGTTGAATCTCGGGTTTCCAGCCATTCGCTCAGACATTTAGAGAAAAAGGCGCTGAACTCCTTGGCATGTAAGTATAATTTGGTTCCGATTTTTTTAAGTGTCTTGTCAACTGTTACAACACACTCTTGAAACATTATTATCTTAGTTTTATAAAGATGCCTGTCTTTATCCAGTATCCTTGTAACTTGGTCCTAGCCCTCTGAGGAGGAGGCTTTACTCCCTGCATTGCGTTCAATAACTTGGTCTATAAAGATTTTGTTTAATTGAGGTCATTTTATTCCAGTGATGCTGCCATCATTAATATTTTGGGATTTTCCTTTCAGAGGGGAAACAACGGTGAAGTCAGCCTTGGAGACCTGTGACGGGCTGCTGCTGATGTCGTCAAGCAGCGCCTGGCAGAGCCTGCTCGGAGTTGCCGGGCCGTATGTCTTTCTAGGGGCCGGGGATTTGAGCACGCCGTCAGTGGTCGTCTTTGGGACGGCCACGGGCATGTTTGGTGGCCTGTCGTGGAAAGGTGCCATCCGGCTTGTGAGAATAATTCTCTTGTGCCTTAACAAAGATAGTCTATTACTGAGAAAAGTACCTGCTTTAATGCAGATATTGAGGTTGCGCCCTAACAGCGGGGTGCCAAGAAAAATACTTGTTTTTGGCAAGTGTGTGTGTAAGAGCGGAGATGGCTTGCATATTGGGTAGAAATAATGAGTATGGTTTTGATGTTTACTGGTTATTAAATAATGTTGAAAGTTGTGTATGGTGTTCGATGCTTGAGTACGAATGTTGTGTACCGCGGTATTCGAGACAGAAGTGGCAGATGATGTGCTACTTATTAGTCCATCAATATAATAGCTAACACGGCTATTTGACATTCTGCACGTCACTTCAGTGACTGCTCGGTTTTGTGGTCCTGGTGGCGATGAGGGGCGAGAGGGATGTTGTCGCCACGCATTACTCCGCTAGGATCGCTCCTTTCGGAGGAGCCGTCGGTACTCGGCCACCAAGGAGCCATCGACCACAGGCAGCTATTTTTTCCGCATCCAGGGCTGCCAGGGTGAAGTTATGAATACCTGCCTAGTTGAGAAACAACAGCTGGGGTCTTCGCCTGGTCCCTTTCATTGGGTGGGCTCCTGGCCCCCAGAAGCTGGGTCTTGGAGGCGAGCATACCATCCCTCACGTATACCTCTGCTATTTATGAGTTTTCACTCGGTAGCAACAAAACAATTCATGCCTCAACCCTGCTCCTAGTGTGAGAAGACTCTGACCTCGGTGTCAGCGGGGCTCTGTCTCGGTTGAAGGTCCTCAAGACAACTGGCTTCGAGGTCGATCTACCTCATCCCGGCGACGGCAACCGGACTAAGCGAGCGGCGGCGACCTGGCGACTTCAAATGACGCCCAGAGCGAGTCCCAGCAGAGCTTTGTCGTGCGCACAAGGCCAAGGACCTAGACGACAATCAAGAACGACGTCTTCGATGCCTCGGCTTGACACGCGACCCTCATCGACTACCCGATGGCAATCACCAGCAGAAGTTTGCGACGCATGTCTGGGCCAGTAGCGGCATTCCCTCTTCCGTGCTATTTCGGCGCATACTATCGATCCGGCGTCGTACGAGCCTCATCAAGGCAAGACTACGACGGTTTCACCACGGTGGTGTAAATTACCATGGGCGTCAAGCAGTACCTGAAGAGCTGGGACGCTCATCTCTGGCGAAGGGATCTCGCCGCCAAGCTTGGTGCGACTGGATGTTCGCATACGCTCCAGTGATTCGTGATAGCCAACAAACGTCTTGGACAAGCGCGCCCCTGGTGTCCGGGACCAGGTACATGTGGTTTTCGTGCCTCTCGTGATAGGTCAGTCTTGCTGGTTGGAGCTTTTGAACAAGCATGAGGTCGGACTCTTCTTCGATGGACATTCGGTAGCAGGCGTTTGGCAACATCTTGAACTTACTCGTGATGGACCTGCCCGAGGCCCAGGCGGTCTTACTATTGGTGAAGACACATTGTTATTTCCCGGAGAAAATAAATGGCGCCCGACAACTGGAAAATACCCAGACGAATGACTTAGGTAATCATGGGCGTTAACCCGCCGATTTCGCTCAGACCCCGTGCCCTGGCAGGCCTAGAACATCCCCCAGTGGCGGGCTAGTGCAGGTGGGCAGGTGGGCAGGTGGGCTGTCAACGACTCAGACTGTTCACTGTCGGATCCAACCCCACCAAGACTGGGCAGCCCTCGTTCTCCAAGAGGGCGAAAAAAAAAAATCTAATAAGCCTGTCTTCGACTCTTTCGTCTCTCGTTCCCTCTACATCACCCCAGCGGAATCTCACGACCCCTTGCACGTTCGAACCTCAATCCGACAATCTCGAGACCGAATCGCCTTCTTACCTACACAATCGAACATCTGCCCTGCGCCATGGCTGCCAACGGTGACAATGGAGCTACCTACGCTCTCTCCCAGGAGCACAAGGATGTCGGTAACGCAGGAGCTGAGCTGCCCATATTGAGGCCGTGCTGACACACCGCCAGATGCTCGAGAAGTCTCTCGTCGATTCCGACCCTGAGGTCGCTGAGATCATGGTCAGTCTCTGCTTGTGATACTCCGTACCCTGCCCGTGTCCTGACTGGTTGCTGTAGAAAAAAGAGATCCAACGCCAGCGAGAGTCCATCATCCTCATTGCTTCCGAAAATGTCACCTCCCGCGCCGTCTTCGATGCCCTAGGCTCGCCCATGTCCAACAAGTACTCCGAGGGATACCCCGGCGCACGATACTACGGTGGCAACCAGCACATCGACGAGATCGAGCTGTTGTGTCAGAAGCGAGCTCTCGAGGCTTTCCACTGCGATCCCGAGAAGTGGGGTGTCAATGTCCAATGCCTGAGTGGCAGCCCTGCCAACCTGCAGGTCTACCAGGCTATTATGCCTCCTGGAGGACGTCTGATGGGTCTGGATCTCCCTCATGGTGGCCACTTGAGTCACGGATACCAGATTCCTTCCAAGAAGTAAGCCTCTACTTCAGCCTCTACTTCAGCCATGCGATATCACCTGGGTACTGACCAAGCCCCCCGCAGGATCTCGGCTGTCTCGACCTACTTCGAGACCATGCCCTACCGAGTCAACCTCGAGACCGGTATCATTGACTACGACAGACTCGAGGAGAATGCTCAGCTATACCGCCCCAAGATCCTTGTCGCCGGTACATCCGCTTACTGCCGTGAGATTGACTACGCGCGCATGCGCAAGATTGCCGACTCAGTCGGTGCTTACCTCGTTGTCGACATGGCTCACATCTCGGGTCTGATCGCCTCTGAGGCTATCCAATCACCTTTCCCCCAGGCTGATGTCGTCACCACCACCACCCACAAGTCTCTCCGTGGCCCCCGTGGCGCCATGATCTTCTTCCGCAAGGGTGTCCGCAGCACGGATGCCAAGGGCAAGCAGACCATGTACGACCTGGAGCAGGCCATCAACTTTTCCGTCTTCCCTGGTCACCAGGGTGGTCCCCACAACCACACCATCACAGCTTTGACTGTCGCCCTGAAGCAAGCCGCTACCCCTGAATTCAAGGCCTATCAGAAGCAGGTTGTGGCTAATGCCAAGGCGTTGGAGCACAAGTTCAAGGCTCTGGACTACAAGCTGGTCTCGGACGGCACTGACTCACACATGGTCCTCATGGACCTGAGAGCACAGGCTCTGGATGGCGCACGTGTCGAGGCCGTTCTCGAGCAGATCAACATTGCTTGCAACAAGAACAGTATCCCAGGTGACAGGTCTGCTCTCACGCCCTGTGGTATTCGTATTGGTACCCCTGCCATGACGTCGCGTGGTTTCGGCGAGAAGGATTTCGAGCGTGTTGCCGACTACATCGACCAGAGCATCAAGATCTGCAAGGAGGTCCAAGGTGCTCTGCCCAAGGAGGCCAACAAGCTCAAGGACTTCAAGGCCAAGGTCGCCAGTGGCGAAGTTACCAAGATCAACGACCTGAAGAAGGAGATCTCTGCTTGGTGCCACACATTCCCTCTGCCCGTCGAGGGGTGGAGAGTTGATGCTGGTATCTAATCTGGGGTTTCTTATGAGATAATGAGGTTAAATGCGGGGTGCATTGTTCAACATAGAGGTGAAGGCAAAAGGGGCAACTCAACTGCCTCTGGCACGGCTGGATGGGAATCGGCCCAATCCTGGAAAAGGGACGAGAAAATGGATATATCCTTGCATGCGTTCATCTGGCGTTGCAAGTCACGAGAGCTATAGGGATTTGATAGCTCTTCTGGGTTCGGGCATTTAGCGGCACTGCTTCAACGCGGGCTACATGGAGGCTGATTTCCGAATGTTTCCATACCTGGTCATATAGCTGAAGCATATGATTGCCAGTCTTCGTCCTTGTCAGTGCTTGAATCCGCGATACAGTACCTTTTTCTTGGCTCGCATCGCCCGCAGATCAGAGTCCAAGTATCCATGCGTTGTAAGAAGCACTCATATGTCTCCTTTACTTTGCAGCAGCAGAGCTTGTCACTTGCCCATATCGCAGTGGGAAGGTAAAGCCCTGCGCACCGTCCCTATGAGATATAGATTGGTAAGCACGTTGTCGTGGAGCTTCACAATGACGGGACAGCGGATCACGCAACGCACGCCATGGCATCACGTCATGCATCGGTAAGTTGGGGTATATAGGTCCACGGGTGCCACCACTCTTGCGTGACGTTCTTATACTCGACACTTTCCTCGACCATTCCTTCTCACCACAGTCACGACGCACCGAATACCAATTCAATACAGTTCAGATCTCTCTTATGAGAGCTCTACCCGTTGGTCAACATGCCGCATCCCGACGCAAATCTCCACCCCGTCGCAACAGGTCTCGCGAAGAAGACCGTCGATGTAAATGAAATGCCAGACACTTAGGGTTCTCCTTGGTTAGGTAGGTAGTATACTTATTCGAGTCTCACAGGAACACTCCGCAGAGCAGCCTCTGAAGCTCTTTGCGGGCTGGTTCTGCCCCTTTGTCCAGCGCACCTGGATCACGCTTGAGGAGAAGGGCATTCCGTATCAGTATATCGAAGGTAATACCAGCACCACTTTGCGTTTGTTCAGTGGGCTTCTATGCCTTGAGGGTCCTCCTGATAGGATTATCCCTTATAAGTCTCCGTCTGCGCAGCTTGCTAGAATTCCAGATTATCGACATACACCCAGGCATACGCAGCTGTCATTTCATCAATCGCCATTGCTGCTTATCCTAGAGAGCTTATTCCAAGATACACAATGCCCCTGTATCCCCGGAACGTTGGTCAAGGGATATACAGAGACAGGGCAGCAGAGACCGGGCAGCAGAGACCAAGACTATGAGGCCTTGATTCAAACGATCACCACCTAACTGACGTCCACGCCCCCATCGCAGTCAACCCCTACCACAAGGGCCCCGAGCTCATGCGCTCCAACCCGCGCGGCCTAGTCCCGACCCTCGAAGTCGCGCCCGGCAAGTCCCTCTACGAGAGCACCGTGCTTTGCGAATACCTCGAGGATCACTACCCGTCGCACCCCCCACATATCCTGCCGCCCGCCGGCGAGGACGACTACGCGCGTGCCCGTGCCCGCATCTGGGTCGATTATGTCACGAGTCGCGTCATCCCGGCCTATCACCGATTGCTGCAGTTCCAGGTCGCGAAGCATGGCGATGGAAAGGAGGAGGGCGAGAAGAGGCTCGATGAGCTGAGGGGCGAGTTCAGGGGCTGTCTGTTGGAGTTTGCGGGCGAGATGGGGGACGGGGGGCCGTGGTTCTTTGGGAAGGAGTTTGGACTGGTGGATATTGCTATGTTGCCGTGGGCTGTGAGTCCCCCTTTTTCCTGTTGTTATCTTCTTTTCCTCGGTACCGTACTGCATGGTGCTGTGCCTTGCACGGCTGGCTGACATGGAGACAGGTCCGCCTCTGGGTCTTCGACGAGTTCAAGGGCGGTCTGCGCATCCCGGAGCCGGGCCAGGGGGGCGACGGCGAGAAGAAGTGGGCGCGGTGGCGCACGTGGCTCGATGCGGTGACGAGGCGTGAAAGCGTGAAGAAGACTACTAGTGAGCGGGAGTACTACGTGCCTATCTATAAGAAGTACGCGGATAATATTGCGCAGTCCGAGCTGGCGAAGGCTACGAGGGCTGGAAGGGGTGTGCCGTAGTTGACGGAGGCTATAGTTCTTGATGTGAATAGGGGCAAGGCAGAAGATGGATTTTGGATAAAAGAGAGCAGGACTTGAATCGTAAATATCCAGCATAGTGAAAAGGTCGAAGCACTGGAATGTTGAAAAATGACTGTAGGACAGAGCCGTTCCTTCAGCATTTTCATGTGTGTACTAATTAAGATCAGACTATTCTTCTGCTAAGTAGAGATACAGTTATGCTATATTTGGCCTCCATCGTTCTGGTGGGGTGTGCTGCGCTGCGGTCGTCTGATAATGCGGCTCGTAGGTAGGGAGACGAAGCGGTGGATGGTTGAAGTGCATGCAGCGGGACTTGCCGCTCGGGAAGCAACTGTGCGTTCGGCGCTAGGACGAGACTTTTATTATTATCACCACGTGCTTGTGGCTTGTAGTTTACGGCGGAACCCTGCCGTTCTACGAGCACACAGGGCGTATCAAATCAATTCGAGTCTGTATCCAGAGTCGCTTTATTATTAAGCCCATTAAGCCCTTCGACCGCAAGGGAAGAGCCAAACCCAAAGACCCCCAAATACAACAAAAAGCAGAGCCCCTGTGCTGCGTCCAGAGTCGGTAAGCCAAGAAAGCAGATACCGTGCGGTGCGTTCCACGAAGACGACTGCACTCTCCCGGCTTTGGCGTGAACGACCAGCCGTCGTTTTAATACCGTACTCGGCAACAAGGACATCAGCTCGCAGCTATGAGCTCCCGAACTCGATTATCCTTCGACGTCAAGCTCAACGAGCTAGGTCAGACCATCACGATCCAGATAGCCGACCCCTCAGGGTTACAAGCCGACAACCTCGCCCTGGCAACCTGGGGCTCATCCGAGATCCTCGCCAACGTCCTGAACAAGCTACCCCGTCCAGATTCCAAAGAGCTCAAGGGATCCGGTATTTGGCCGGTTCTGGAACTGGGCGCCGGGACCGGCTTGGTCGGCATCAGTGCAGCAGCTATCTGGCAGACCGATGTTTGCCTCACCGACTTAGAGCCTCTGGTCCCGAATTTGGAGGCCAATTGTGAGCTGAATCATGGTCTTTTGGGGCAGCTCAATGAGAACGCGATGGAGGGTGTAGCGGATCTTTCCTGCGGGATTTTGGACTGGGCGAAGCCTGAACACCTCGTTTTCGCGGACAGCAAGGTCAACTCTGACCCAGCCCGCATCATAATTGCGGCCGACACGGTCTACTCCGAAGAACACCCCGAGCTGCTCACGAAAGCCGTCTCGGCGCGCTTGGACAGGGACGAGAAGGCGAGGTTCATCATGTGCTACCCATTACGAATCGGGTATCTGGATCACATCCGAGACCTATGGGAGCGGCTGGAGCAGGGGGGGTTAGAATGCGTGCAAGAGGGACGGGAGAAGCTGGGGAAAGATTGGGGGGATAATGTGGAGGAGGATGTGGAGTATGAGTGGTGTGCCTGGAGTTGGAAGGCGGAGATGTTGCCTCCACGAGGATGACTGACTGGTAGTTCGAACCGGGATGCAGAAATGGTCTAACCTGGGTCATTCGGAGGGAGCCGCCAGCACTGAAATTATCGGCTGGCTAGAAGTATGCCGAGCAAGCTTAGCGATATACACTCGCGACGGCCTCTTCGGTAGAGACCGCAGCCGGTTGCTTAGGTTGCTTGCCCGAGCTGTCCGAGGTATGGCACTGCTTGCTTACTTCCCGCCATGGCTTGCAGTACAGCTGTGGGCTTCGAGGTGTCAAGGAAAGTGTACTGTGGATGTTGAAACAGGCAATAAATACAAACGAGCACATGCCCATGATTGGCGCTGCCGTGGACGTACGACGTACAACCATTACTACCTTGTTCGGCTTCAGACTCGACTGCGCAACACGCCTCGACCTCGTTCGTATCCTAGGCTTTGTCTGTCCGCCGATCCTCGAAACCTAGAACGAGCAGCGATGGATCCGTACCTTCTTACAGCACACACGCTGTATGGGTCAGGGCCAGAGCAGGCCTGTTGAGGTGTGAGCAGCTTGGGCGGTAGCCCTTGGTGTACGGGAACATGGAAGAAGGTGTCGTTGCCAGTAGAGGGCAGTAGATGTACTGATTCGAGGGCATTTAGTGTTGAAACTCGAGCCTCTCGACTGAAGAGTTCCTTCCTACTTGAGAGAGGTGGCGTCTTTTAAGCGGCTACAAACCACTTCGTGACTTAGCAGCATCAGCCTTGAGTCTTTTTACACATACTTCACTTTGAGGACGACAATTTTCTGGACGGTCACAAATCCCAGGTAGAAGACGAGCTGTTGTAGCTAGAGATTATCCAGCAAGCTTTCTGTGGACGCTTAGACCGCAACCCCTTTTGACTACCTTGACGCAAGTGCGCAAAGATGTAACGTGCCCAGCACACACGGTGAACTAGGTAGTCTACTCTTAGACGAGCATCTCAACATTAAGCCAAATGCCTATTAACTAGACTAGCTGAACACTGTTTATACATAAAGGCATTGTATGACTCCCGAAGCGACGCAGGAACCAGTTGCTTCGCCTTGAACAAGTGATGAGCAAGCCATCTACAGTTCGTGCTCTGTAAGAGCCACCCTTTCCTCCGTGAACTCCATTTCTCCAGTTTAACACCTGTGGAAAGATGTAGGAAACCCAAGCGCTTGGGCGCTTTTCAAAGCAAACATCCAAACATCTCTGTGCTATACCACGCCGGTTTCTATAATGCGAAAGCACCACGTTCCTACGCAACAGCCTGGAAAAACTTTGTCCTAGACGCCAGCAACTCCAGCGTTTGGCAATTTCCATTACGAGGTCCAACACTTGTTTGCTATGACATCTTCCATCAGCACTCCGACCAGGATACCCTCAGCCCCTGGCCAGTGTCCGAGTGATGCTCACCCGCGCCAAGTTCGATAGGTAGTATCCCTGGCATTGGGCAATCGAAAGGGATAAAGCGGATGATTTCGCAGTTCTGCCTGCCGGACAGAAGTCATCTAGGCTTCTGTACCGGCAGCTGAAGAACCGGCATTCGCGGCTGGAGCAGCAGGTGCCAACGCCGGGCTTCCATTAATGGCCATCGAGCCATTAGCCATGCGAGGCGAGTTGAGTTGGGGGTTCGGGCTAGGACTGGACGCTGAGTAGTTGGCGCCGCTGCCAGGCATGCTGGGTCTAGCGGCCGCCATCCCAGCTTGTCCCGCTCCGAGACCAATGCCCCCCAGTCCGACCGGAGCACCGACATGGGTCTGTCCCGAGGGGTTGACCTGTCCCTGCCCAGACATCGAGTTTCTTCTGAGGCCCTCGTTGGATTGCTGGGCGCTCTTCTGCGCATCGAATCGGGCCTTGGCCTGGTTCATAGCCTGCTGCACCTGAAGTGGGTTGAGAGAGGTGTGGAACGACGACGGGCCAGAAGTGGACGGACTCTGGTGTTGATTGTGGGTTTGAGGCTGAGGCTGAGATGGTTGCTGAGGCTGATGGTGCATTTGATGCGGAGGTGGGTTTTGAGGTTGGTGTTGGGGCATATGCTGGTGCTGCTGGTGAACTGGCTGCTGGTGAACTGGCTGCTGGTGAACTGGCTGCTGCGGTTGGGGCTGCGGTTGATGCTGGGGTTGATGATGAACGTGGTTGTTCTGCATCGCAGGCGAACCCGCAGGGGGGTAATAACGCCGTGACGGATCATTACTCATGTTAGGCTGACCACCATACGATCCCTGTCTGGTTGGCGTCGGTGTCGGATGATATCCCTGATGAGGCACGTGTGGGTGCTGCTGCTGCTGCGGCGGTGGGTGGTGGACTTGCGGAGAGACAGTCCTCTGAGGCATGGTATTACCAGCACCATTAGTGTACGGACCATAGGGGGGGTGCGACGGAGTGCTGTGCTGTTGGCTTTGAGGCTGATATGGCTGGTGATACGGAGCCGCCGGCTGGGTGTTTGGTGCTTGAGCATAAGAGGGATGATAGCGTGGCTGCGGCGTCGCATTGCCCATGTTAGGGTAGCCCTGCACTTGCGGCTGATATAGTGGACGGCTTTGCGTCGGCGTGCCTGCATACGGTCCGGCATGAGGAGAGTGTGCTGGCTGCTTGGCATATGGCTGAGAGTAGCCCGTTTTTGGGTAAGGATGCGGAGGCCGGTATCCTGTGTTGGACGGAGGCCTTGGCGGATAGGCCGCCGGCATTGTCTGTGGGGGTCGTTGCACAGCCGTCTGTTGGGGGCGAACAGGCGTGTGAGCATAGTAAGGCTGGGCCGCTGGCATCGGCGCGCGACCCGGGGTTGTGTGGTACGATTGGCCGCCGTACTGCATGTTGTTCGACGAGCTTGTCGATCTATGCGAGGCGGGACGGGGGTTTGACGCTGCAACTTGGGCGGCCCTGGCGCGGGCAGCGGTCTCATCCTCTTCCATCAATCCTTGATACTCATCGGTCCGGATTTCCAACTTGGTAGAGATGTTCAACTCGTCCAGCTTGTCCGAATTGAGACGAGCTACGGCGTACGGCGGAAGCATCTGCACCACCAAGCAGAGCTGGGCCTTCAGCGTTTTGTACGTTTCCGTCTCCTCGTCATCAGGCTGCACTGGAGTGCCATTCGTGAGCATGTCGCTGTGGGCAGGGTCGCCCGCGTAACGACTCTGACTCGATGGGGAGGGTAAAGTTAGGTTGCGATTCCTCTGGTAGGAAATGATCGTCTGGATCATGTCAGAGACATCCTGGAGAGTGTCGTCCACGTCCTTCTCCTGGTCCGACTTCTTGGGACAGCAGGCTTCTTCGAGGCTAGGATCCACCATGCTCTCATCCCAGTCATCTATCATCTTTTGTATCAGGGTCTCGTCAATCTCCTCGATAAGCTCAGTGTCGCCTTTGTCGAGCTCAGGTGCGACCCCTTCTGACAAGTCAGCCTCGACCAAACGGTCAAAGCTACGCTGTCCGGCCTTTTGCCACCATAGAGTGTGGCTAATCAGACCTGAAGAAATCATCGCGGCCGAATCATCCTTGGACGGGGCAAAGCTAGAGAATGCGCCGCGGAAGAGAGATTCCATCTCAGACATCTCTAGGTCCGATGACGAGGGCTTGTTTCCGGCCAGGCTGAGGGCCCGTTCGCGCTGCTTCGTCATAATCTGCGAGGGGGGTGCGGCATTGCTGTAATCAAGCCAACGTCCGGTGGATATATTTTGACTAAAGTATGAACCAGCTCGGTACTTAGACTTCTCGGTCAACTCCGGACGGTGCCATCCAACCTGGACGCCCTTGGTGGTACTCTTGGGTGCCTTGGGCGGGGGTAATGAGGGTAGGTTGCGCGGAGCGGGCATGAGCTCGCCCAACGTCTTGGACTTCTTGTCCTTCTCGACAGCAGAGGGGAAGAAGTAGGGCACCGTCTTGGCCGTCTTGACGCCATTGGGTAGTCCTATTTCCCTAAGTGGTCGAAAGGCGCCGTCTGCACCGTCAGCGGCAGCTACTGGCTTTTGGAGACTCGAGTATAGCTGCTTTTTGGTCTCGCCATAGACGCTCAAGACCATGTTTCCGCTTGCATTCGATTGCAGATCGTTGGTCGAATCAAGGGCTCGAAGGGCGTCAGGGACATGCGTCAGGTTGGGATACGTCATCTCACGACGGAAGAGTGCATGTGCCTTTCTCTTAAACTCGACGACCTGGGCAATGGCAGCATCGTTTCCCTTGGTATCCTTCCCCTCCTCAACACGGCGCAGCTCGGCCAACTGGTTGGTAATGGATGTCTTGAGGTCGATGAGAATGGATTCGGCATCCTCGTATCCATCCCTGGCCACCTTGCCGGCAATGGAAGGTAACGAGGCACCATTGTCAGACTTTTGTCGCTTGGTCTCGTGTTCATCGGGGTTGTCAGGTTCGGACAGTGGGCGTTTGAGGATCGAAGGTGTGATATCGAACCTGTAAAGAACACCAGTAAGAAATTATGGCTCGACCAATAGTCATAATGAGGAAAGGGAGGGACGAGACCAGATGCAGAGAGCGCATTGGGGCATAGGGTGAGGTTGCCGGTGCGGATGGTTGGTTACCTCTGGAGAAGCTCGTAATAGTCGCGAACAGTGGACTTGTCGATTTTGGTAGTGTTGGAAGAAGCGGCTGCAGCAGCGGCAGCGGGAGCTGGAGTGTCGTTGCCATTGAGGTTGACTCCATTTGGAAGCTTGTCGCCAGCATCGCCAGCCTCGCGTTTGCGCTTGGCGGAGAAGTTGATGGACTGCGCAAGATCGGCGTCGGCATTGGAATTGACACTGGATCTAGGTATCGCATTCGCATTGTTGGAGTCGAGCTGCATGGACGGCGTCGGCGTGGGGACGCCGTTAGAGACGGCCACGGCAGACGACGCCATCGTCTGTTAAGTATGGTACGCGCGGGAAGAATATCGCGATGTTGTCGCAACTGGAAGCAGCAGCAGCTGGTGGCCGTGGTGGTCAGTCTCGAGGGAGGCTAACAGCAAGACTGGATGCTGGTGGTGGAGGAGCAGTGCGGCAGTGGTCGGTGGTAGTAGCTTTGCCTTGTCGCGCCGGACTGGTCTGACTGGCGACTGGCGACTGGCACGCTCGGTCGCGATTTGGACCTTTTCCAGGACGTCGCACCAACAAAATAATCTCAATCTCACCAACAACCTTAACGCCTGGACAACCGAGGGATCCCTTATCCGAACCCACCACGCAAAGTCATCAGAAGATGGCGATGACACGGGAGGTAGTATTGGCAGTTCGTATGGGATATTCCACGCTTTATTTCCCGGTGCAGCATTGGGTGAGGCAGTGGAAAGCAGGGGAAATTGAAGAGGCTGTCACCTTGGGCCTCCCTCACAGCACAGCCAGAGATGTGTCTTGGAACGCTAACGCTAGCAATTGTGGGCCGTCCATGGAAATTTGACCCATTCGCACGTGACATGAACTCGGTTTGGTGCGTAAGGTAGGCCAGAGCTTCAAGGTTGATGATTGTCCTAAACGAACTGAGAGGATCACTTACACTGAATCACTGCCATCTGCCATCTGCCATCTGCCATCTGCCAAACAATGCATCGCTCATCATTTACTTTGGCGTTTCACTCATTTCATCGCTTGAATGGGCCCCATGACCCTCCGTACTGGCAGTGCGTGACTTGTTGTGCTGTGAGTAACAGATGCAGGACTAATGCACGTGTATCTAGGTGTCTTCTGGGTCATGCGTGAAAGTCCGAGGCCGTGGCATACTATCGTTGATGGCTGAAGCTACGATAGCTGTAGTCTTTGTATGATGTCTTAAGTAAAAAGTAAACACCAGAAATCGTCACCTCTATCACCTGTGATCAAAATAAATAAATAAAGTATTCAACATTGCTTGTAAATCCTCCCTGTGACTTGAACTCTCCAACGATCCGAACCCTTAAAGCGAGGCTCGCTCCAAGCCGTTCAATTAACTGTGTAATCCCTCCCCACTATAACGATTGAACCTCAATCGCATCGTAGAACTCATCAGACGAATCCAGCAACGACTCCGTAACGCTCTCCGCGTGAGCCTCGCAGACCGGGCTCTCTACCCGGTCCTCGCACCGCTTGCCCTGACCACCACCATCCATCCTGCCAGAAGCCATCCGTGTATCAATCTCGGCCGTGATGGGATCCTGCATGACCTGCTTGCCAGCCGTACTGGTGTCCCGCCCATGGCCCAGTGGTTGATCTTCCTCTGCGTCGTCGTCTGTGTCGTGCTCGTGTGTTGAGCCGTGTTCTTCATACGCCGGGGGGGGGAGACGGGAGGCGTGGTGGAGGCGTAAAGGCCGTTGTCGATTGATCTGGCGTGTATAGCGATACCCGTATGATGGGTATACTGTTTGAACGCGGCTCAGTTAGGAAAGCTGTCTCGTCCGTTATTTTGCAAATATGTGTATGCGGAAAGAATGCACTTTTCGAAGCGATGATCAGCAATGGTTGAATTCAGATAGTTTGCCTTCTTTTGTCTACGATATGTCCTCGTCTTGCGACACGTCTAGTATTGCGGCCGCGACACGACTGCATAGATGATAGCGATTCCTTTGTAGAAACTTGTGGTCGACCCAATGGCAAGTAGGGGCCCGAACAACCCTGAGTACATACCTACCTACCTAATGTATGAGGTGGCTGACTCATAGGCAGGCGACAAAACCGATAGATATAGCTGGTGGAGCAAGCAAATCAATTGGGTCACATGATAGCGGATCATAGTATTGCTGATGCAAAGAAACCTCTGTTATGAGCTATGTAGTGTACACTGGGTAAACCGAATCCGTGTCCAGCCATGCCTGTTGGATAATGAAATTCAAAAAAGTAGAGCATAGGCCCACAAGTGTAGTAAAGTGCACTTCAACTCTTACTGTCTCCCAAGAGCCCATGGTCATTTGCACCCCGAACCTTTTGCATCGCGATTTCATCGAATGCTACCGGCAATTTGGTCAAAACTCCTCTCAAACTGTGTCCAGACTTATTCTACTTGGCCTCGGCGAGACCGACTGTGCCCTTGCCAAGGTCGTAGATGGAGTACCATTTTCGGAGGAAGGCATCACCCAGGATGGCAAGGGGACCAACTGGAGCAGGGAAGTCCATTCCCATGAAAGTGGAAATGCAGCTGCCCTGAACTTCGAGAATGTAGTCGTACGCACTTATCGCAAAGTCGTAGCCGCTCAGCGTAAAGGTGACGTCGGGCAGCGAGTCACGGAGAGAGCATTCGATTGTGTATTGGCCGTTGTAGCTCTTCTTAGCACCAATCTCCTTGTTGATCAGCTCAGCAAGCTCGGTGGGCAGAGCGATCAAAGAGGTGCCAGTGTCCAAGATGACACCAGTGTTCTCAAGCTCGGCAGTCTCCTTGCCAAGAGAGATGGAGTCCAGGTCAACCTCCCAGTAGGCCTTGCGTCGCAGGGGGATCTCGGTGATCTTGCCCTTGTAGTGGTCCTCGTCAACGCCACCGAAGACGACCTCGGAGTTGTCGCCGCCGTTCTCCCCATCGAGGTAGAAGGCGAAGACAGGCTCGTCAATCAGTTTCTGGTTGATCATCTGGTAGAAAGGAGGGACGATGCCGTTGACAGACAAGCGGTCGAACCCCATACCAAGAATACCGTCGAAACGACCAAAGGCGAACGCTAGACCGGGCTCACTGGTGGCCTCGGCGAAATCCTGGTTCTTGATCTCAAGGTCACCGATAGTCATAGTATCCTGGGACACAAAGCCGCTCAAGCTGCCGGATCCGTAGCGGATCTCAAACTCGGTGCCGTTCTTCTTGTATGTGGAAGAAGCGGAAGAATCGTACTTGGAGTGGAGGTAGCAGGCGATGCTGCCGCAGGAAGAGGAGGGAACCCAGAGGTTGGAGCTGCCGGTGTCGAGGATGACCTTGAAGTCCTGGGGCGGCGAACCGATCTGGATCTCGGAGAAGTCTGACAGGGCCTAATCAGCATGCGGGTTTAATGGTTTGGAAAAGGAGACGGGATGACATACACTGAGCGTTCATGAAATTGGAGATGGGAACAGTGTGGTCCTTGTCCATGTGGATGGATGTGTCCTGGAACACAGCTTGAGCATGTGCGTCGGGACGGGCGCCCATGTACTTCTGGCCAAGACCTCGCATCTGGCTCTCCATGGGGATGCTCTCCTGTAGCACAGTATCATCAGCTAATGCTGTGGAATATCAAAGAACCACATCTACTGACCAGCTGCTCAGAAAGCGGGATCTTCTTGAGCTTCATCTTGTGGACCTCGGCCTGCGCGGAGCCCAGCAGCACAGCTGCGGCACCCAGAATAGCTCCCTTCATGATGGGCAACTCGGATGAGATTAAAAGTGTATTGAATAGAGGTGTTGCAGTCGATGCGAACACAAGCCCCGTGACGAGTCTGTGTGTGCGCGTATTGATGGGGGAAGAAGAGGGAGATGGAGATGACTTGTTGTTGTTGATGACTGGATGTAGGAAGAGAGGAAGAGGCGGATGATGCAGGCGTTGTCAGCGGGAGATAAGGGAGCTCATCAATCGGACGGTGACAGCACGGGAAACAGGCACCCACCTCTGATGCTCGAGCTGCGCGGCGCCACTACCCGACCCACCTTACCTTAGGTACTTACTCTATCGCTCAGTGGGTAACTCAAATCGGCATCAGGATTGCGCGAGGCGAAGCCCTGTCCGCTTCAAGGGTACATGATCCATATCCATTGCTTAACATGACATGAAGCTCGCTAAGTGGCATTTGAGCTCACGCTGTTTGTATACGATCGATCATCTACAAGCCGGACTTTTCTGAATTTACAAGCAGCTTCTTGTTCTTGTTCACTCCAATTCTCAACCGCAGTGGCTTGGCAACCCTGAATACACTTGATGGCAATGTTAGCATGTCACGCGGCCTTCAAGTACATGCCGCCCGGAGGTGGCTCAGCGGGGGTTGGTCTCGTGTGAGACAAGCATCCGCGCACAGAGCCCTGAGTGGCACTTGCGCGGCAACAGTGTGGCTCATGACCTTGATCGCTATGCCTGTTGTAGTAAGGCTCATCTAATGACGCACCTGCCCACCGCGGCCTGGCAACCAGAACCCTGGAGGCAGCAACCGCCACGACACAAGCAGGTACCAACCTTCAAGCCAATGAGAGTGTGCGCTCCTTTGGCCGTTCTCGAACCCGATCCGACCTCGGCCGTAACGACATGACGCTCTTGAGGTGATTACCTACCTTAATATACCAACATCGTGATACTCGCCTCTCATTGCAGTCCCGCATCGTCGGCTTAGGTGTCGAGGTAACCTTGCATGTTCTGGGTACCCAGAAGGGCTCTGCTTGGTTTGTCTACGGCTGCAGTCGTTACTCATCTTTAGTGACCTCATCTTTAGTGACCTCCTGCCTACCTAGGTAGCCCACTCGAGAGTTCAGCGGACGAGACATTAGGTATATAGGTATCATCATAGTCCTGGAATAAGCGCTCAAAGGAGCAGTCTCAGTTCAAGACGCTCTTTCATGCATAACTTGAACCCTGGTAAGCGGCCGCGATCCGTCTTCCATTGCTGCAATTCTTGAACATCCCGATGAAGCTACAAGACCTGAATGAAAACACAGCGGTCGATTACGTGTCATTTAATAGAATGAGATCTCCCAAATCTAAGTGTACCCAACGATTCTGTGAATGGGGTAGTGCTGGTGGTGGCGCTGATCTGAGTATAGGCGCCGCAGACGGATGAGCCGGCGATGCCGAGGCCGATGGTGTCGAGGATGAAGAGTTTGGCTTGGGCGATGGCGAAGGTGGGAGATCGCCGTCGGTGGTGGCTAGGGCGTGGTTGGCGAAGTACGCGGAGAGCGGCGCTGGGGTATGGGGTGGTGGTGGGGAGCCCATGGGTATGAGGAATCGGCATCTGAGGTTCGGTGGGGACAAAGGGAGCAGTCATACAGTACGTTTGGAAGTTTCCGTGCCAGACGGATATTTGCGTGAGGCGAGGACCTTCGAGATAGGCACCCAGGTAAATACCGTACAGTGTCGGCCGTCGGCCGCTTTGGTGAATTTCGGCCCCTGACTTCGGAATCGTGCCGTCGGAATCGTGGTACGGAGCCGACTTCGCTTCCCCTATATCTACGTGACGAAAGTCAGGACAGACGAAGACACGCGGTTTCAAGATAATATAGTGATTTGGGATGTGTAAGACGTGAGATAAGACGTGAGAGAAGTGGTCATCTAAGCTGGGTACTTGAGATTGAGCATGCTCTTCACGATATTCAACAATCAATCAACTAATTCAATGATAGGTATATTGAGCAGTGACCTCTGCACATGCTAGATAACGTGAACAGGTTACACGTACAAGACTACAAGCTAGCCGGTGACTTACAGTACCTGTATCCAAATGCCATGCCACGCGGGAACATGTACTAATCTACGTAAGCTTGAGGTAGCTTCGGCTTGTCACCTATCCCGCTCTCCTTCTGTCAGATTTGAGCCAATCGTGAGAGTGAAGTGTGTGTGTCTGTATCCTGTCTGTCTAGAGTGTCCTTGTGCGACCGTGGCAGTTTTGTGCCAGAGGGGGCTGGATCGGGACGGAACAACAAGGTTCCGTTGTCTACCTGTCAAGGTGCCTTCTGGGCGTACCTTTAATCCAACACGCACAGACCACCTGCAGCCACACCACCTGCACCACTCCATCCATCCAACATTATACGATAAATACATTTTTATAATAAACTAGTCTTATTATTATAAACGTATAAGTGTTAACCAAATAAAAGGAAAATGCAACGAATGCTTTATTATTATAATAAAATAAACGCTATAAATATAGTGGTTAAAATGGATGGCCGTAGCAAGTGGCTGCAGGTGTACCGAAAATTAATATATATCTAAGGATTTTTTTCACTGTACACTTAGTAGGACTGTTATATAAAGGCGTGACTTACTAATAATAACCCATTATATGACTCGTTTTCAGGCTGGAATCTATATGCACAATCGACCTCTTAGACTTCGAAATCTATTATTGCTACGACACTTTTCTATACTCGCAATGTGCGGGTAGTAAGTTATATATACAAAACTTCGGCTGCAAACCAAAAACCCAGAGACAGCGCTTCTTGTTATCATTTTGTCAAAGAGCCGACCGTATACGCAGAGAAGCTCGGCCAAGCGGGTTCCTTCGTTGTTTCTTGGGCATTGACAATGGATTGTTCGCAACTTCTAGTTTTGCGATCGATCGGACTTGGGGCCTTACGCTCACGAGACGCTTTGGCGAACCTCTCAGCGTACAATAACAGCATTCTTTTGCAATGGAGAACGACGTGAGCACGGCGTCGTCGCTCACACCGCCAAAGATCAAGAGCCTAGGTAGGCAAGTCGCTCACCATACGATGGTGGTGTAACTTTGAAAAGGTATTGGCTGGACGAGTTGATCAGGCCCTTCACCTATCATGATCTGGAGAGCCGATTATGCATGTCACCCAAATGCTCCTTCGTTCCGGATTCCGAGATCCTGCGACCAAGCTAGCATTCCTTTGAAGAACATGTGATGGAACCAAAGCCAGAAGATCCGCTTGCTACAGTGTTTGCTGCTTTGGCAAGAGGGCCTGGAATTGTGTTATGTTCAATGACCGATTAATGAGAGTGTACTACACATGCGGAAAGGACTTAACCAAGTCCGGCGAGCAGAGAATACGGCGAAGTAACTACAACAAGCGATCGGGTACGCGAGACACTTTCTTTATCCTCTAGCCTATCAAAGGAAGCCGCACATCTTATGGAACCTTGAGCTACTGCATGATGCATGTCACAATCAAACATCTCCATGTCATCAAACATGTCGACGGAAAAGAGATTATCGTCTACCATGGGAGTCGACGAGCTTCCGCTTCAGGGAGCTGGCTCCAGCTTCGACCAGAGCTCCGACTAGTCTTCCAGCAGCGAAGAAGATGAACTTGCGAAATGTTCGGCTGTGCTCTCACATCTGAACGTCGAAAAGATACCGGAATATGCGTCAGCTGTGAGAAATCATATGGGATACGAAATTTGCAACGCTCCTTCAATTGGTGATCCTATTCATGGATCGTTCAATGTCCTGTTTCCGATAGACTTCGAAGACGAGACCCGCTGGCTCTTGAAGATACCAATCAATGGGTCGAAGGAACATTGGAACAGCCTCTCGGCCGATGCTCTGAGGTCGGAGGCTTTGACGATGAGAATCCTCAGGCGAGAGACGTCAATTCCCCTGCCTGAAGTCTTCGATTTCTCGTCGAGCACAGACAACCTCCTTGGATTGCCTTTCATCACGATGTCCTTCATCAAGGGGCTGTCGTTATTTGAAGTAGGGTTCAACGAGGACCCTGAAGTTGCTGCGGAAACAATCCACAGGAGAAGAAGTACTGCGCTAAAAGGCATTGCTCTGGCCATGGCCCAGTTATCCCGATTTTCGTATCAACTAGGCGGACTGTGATATACAATGACGAAGAGACCGATTATGATATGGGCCCAGCCAGGGAACCTGACCAGGAGGCGATGTACAAGAGGTCTTTTGAGGACGGTGATCCCGACGACATGCCACTGTACGCAGCAGTTGGCCCTTTCACCGATCCAGAAGCTGCGTATACCTGCATGCTCGATCTCCACACCCCCCCCCCCCCCCCCCCCCCCCCCCCCCACCCCACCGAAGCAGGACTTCGCCCTGGGGTCTACATTACTTCTCCTCAAGTTTATCACTTGGTTACCTAAGCTGGAGGGCGACCAGTTTGTCGTCACGCACCCGGACTTCGACATACATAATGTTCTCGTAACCGACGAAGGCGACGTGGTTGGCCTGATAGACTGGGATGGTGTGGCGGCAGCGCCACGGACAATCGGCAATGAACGATATCCAGGGTGGCTGACGAAGGATTTTGGTCCGGCGATGTATGGGTATAAGGTTTCCATGGACGAGGGCGACTTGACGGAAGATGTTATTGAGCGTCTGAGGGAGGGGTTTGACACTCTGTTGGTGGCAGAAGGACTTTAGTGTGAGGCTTACAGATGTAAGAGATAAGGTGCAGAGCTCTTTAATAGAGAAGACCCCCTTCACATGTAAAAGTAGAGGTACTTTAGCACTGGTTTACAACCTTGTTGCGAGGACAGACGCAACGGCACGTCATTGTCTGCTTATACCCGAAGAGGAGAGAACCTTGGAATATACTTCAAACACTAGGTTTTGTGGGGCCCATTGCGTGGACGACACGCTGCGTCTCCAACGAGGAACATAAACTCGCTCACCCCCAAGTACCTCTAATCGTCAATCAAACATCATTTCTTAAATAAAACCTAACAACCTCGTTATCATCACCACCTCCAACCACCATGCCCGGCAAGCTCACCCAAAAAGTCCTCGGCCACCTCGGCGTCTCCCACGACCACTCAGGGTCCGGCAGTGTCAGCGGCTGGAATGTCGCCTCGCACCATGACGTCTGCTCTTCCAGCAAGAGCGAGTCGGATATCAAAGACGGGAAGGGGCGTCGGTCCACCAAGCGCACGACTGGGTGCAATGAAAGAGGAGTGAGTGGCACCCCACACTCGCGGACCTGATCGAAGGTCGTCTGACATGGCGGCATGGCTGACGGGTTGAACCACGTAGGAGATTTACTATGCCGAACAAGATCACCAAGGGAACGTCATCAACAAATTCTCGTGCCACTGGCAAACCTATAACACCAACACTCAAAAGTGGGATTCATCGTATTGCATATGCGCTGAACAAGATCCAGACCAGGTGCGCCTTCTGTTTCTACTAATTAGACCTTCGTGTACTTAACTGTTCTCTAGGTTAAAGTGGGAGATAAATGCAAACACAATCGGGGCCAGAACACATGTGAATGTCCATACGATGGTTGAGTGAGCCTGAGATATGTCACCTACTGCATGTTCAGCTCCGACACAGGAAGGCAACACTGTCTTCGCCGAGTAGGAAGTGCGACTGGTATCGCGAGACGTCATGGTATCGGGGTGGTATTCCTTCTTGATGAATTTGGTCGCTTTTCATAGATGGTAGTATTGCCTGCGATGGAACGTCAGCACCCAGTACAGCTTGTATGTAGTTCAGAACTCGTTGGGCATCCACTCCTTTTCCAATAGCTCTCCCATTCTCGTCCAGGTACGTGTACGGGTGTTTTCTGCACTTGATAATCGACAGATGGACATATGAAGTGAGATGTACTGGGAGTCTGGGCCGGAACACTGGCGCAATGGACATATTACAGCAACGTATGCTCACGATCATTATATCCAATTCATGCGTACACAGATGTTATGAAGCATTTCGTCAAAGCACAAGTGACAAGGCCGCGTTAAAGCCGGCCAGAACCGAGACTTGAGTTCTTGGTGGGAGGAAGCAGCAAGCCTAGGTTTGCTCGTCAAACTCAGTCAGGGCTGCTGATTACTTACATCTGTTCATACTGACATAAGATGTGCTTGTCCGAATGCGCCTGCCTTGAATGGTTTGACTGGATTTACATAAGGAAGGCGACGTTGGGTCATGGCAGACCCGGTTGGCACAAGGAAGCTGATGTTGAGCAATGATAGACTTGAGTTATGGACCATATAAATATAGCATTGCGCATGTAACTTCCTTCTTCGTTTTATGAATTGTCCGAAATAACTCAATGCTAGAAGAAACAAATCCCTATAGATTGTAGAATCCTGACATGTCGTTTCGTAGCTGGTGGATAACAGTATTCGATATGGCCTATAGTAAAAACTGCGTTCTACATACTTATATATGTCACATTAGGCAATTACCATGGCGCTGGTTATCGACAACTGGTTTTCCGGGTACTGACATGTAGAGAAAAGGAACAGTAACAAGCATAGACTTATTAAAGTGCTTGGTGCACCCTGAGCATCTTACAAATTGCAGATAATTATGGAAAAAGGGACTAGTTTCTTGGCAACAACTATGTCTCTGAAGGGACGGAATTTCAAATGCCCGGGGTGGGTGTGCAGGCAGGTCCACATGGACCTTTCGCACTTTGCTTCACCCGGATAACTAGCAAGACCACCTCCTGGGCAGCATCAAATACACCAATGCGCAGGCGTGGTATCTTCTTCTCATTCCTACATTGCTCTGTGCGCCCCCGACTAGGAAAATGCACGCCGTACTTCTTGTGCTGAAACGATCCAGGCCGCGAAGAGACTTTTAGAACATCAAACCGAGCGATCGACCTGCACCCGGCTGGGGTCAAGCACTGCGTCTGGCCACCTTGCAGATCACTCGAACTTCTCAACTCGAATGGCCGTCCCTCATTACCTTCTTGGTCGCTAGCAGCGAGACTTCCGATCAGCTCCCCTCATCCACGCCTTTCAGCTTTGGCTCGACTTTCGGTGGAATCCTCGACAGCAGGCTCGAAACAGTCACCGCCTGCGAAATCCGCAAGTCAACCACACTAGGCCTCTTAAGAAACAGCCGGACCAATCTCCCAGAGCGACAGGTACCAGCAAAAACACCACGAAAAGCTTTCGCGAACCAAAGCCGGAATCGCCAGTGGCTCCACGAAATGGAATTCTGGGCTGAAGGCTACACATTTGCGCACAACGACTTGCTTTAACCATTACGATACACACTATGTCGTCCACGACAGGTGGAACAGTAAGCCTAAACCCCTAATTATGACTATCCCGTACTCTCATATTAACATGTTTTACAGCCCTCCTTGCTCCCGCAGTTAGCATCGAGGCATTGCTGGACCTTGCATCTCAGGGCAAGATCCAGCAGCTAAAGACGTTGTTGGATAGCTTGAGTACCCGGTACAGCGTATAAAAGCAGACGCTGGTGCTTATGCACACCCGAGACGCCGAGGGCAACAACATTGCCCACAGCGCAGCTGCGACGTTCGCTACATTCAGCAACTCCTGCGCTCAGTCAGAGAGAAACGACAAAGGGAACTACAAGAGGCCGCCGACGAAGACGGTGGGGTTTCGCTACTACCCAAGACCCCAGAGAACAAGAAGAAAATACCGCGTATCAGAACTGCTGAAGAATTCCATGAAATCAACCGCCGACTTGCTGCGGATATTGCGAGTGAGATCCATCACCCTATTACTGAGCAGGACGTCATCTACAATACTCCAAGATTCGAGCGAGAGCGCAAGATCACAGACCGTGACAAGATGTTCTCCAATCCAGCAAAGCATCTCGCGGTAGAAAGAGCCATCCTCAAAGTTAAGGATGAAGTCTTTCGACAAGAAGTGTTTCAGGCCATTGACAACAAAGCCTCCGGGTCCGGCGAATGAGAGAAGCTCAGGCACGGGTGGACGGCGAGCGTGAGATCCGAGAACAGAGGACCCGCGAACGCGGGAATGAACAAGAGGTCCGACAGAAGCAGGATATACTGGATGACACCGACAAGCGAGAGGAACACCTCGAACGACGATGATCCCTTACGCAGATCCTCCTCCGAAGACGAGCTTGCTGGTGACTCTTCCGGCGCTCCTCGCCCGTCTACTAAGTTACCGAGAAGCGTTCTGCGCACGATATGATGGCGGCGAGCGACCCTCCGAGCGCTCAGCGGACGGCCAGTGGTAGGCTCCCTAGCCAGGGTCACCTCATGTCACGATCTTTCTCTCGGCTTCAGGTCGGTATTCCGATGCGCTCTGGACAACGAGCTTCTCCTGCTCTCATTGGAGACCCGGCTCGCTCTGTGCTTGGCCCGGCGCGTGCGTTGCTTCAGGCCATGGGTACCAACGAGCCTGTAAGTAGCCAGAGATCATCGCTCTTAGCATTTGACTGATCGTCGTTTTAGCAGAAGGACGTACAGAAGCTGCGGACAACTGTTCGCCAGCTCCTCAAAATGGACAAGGAGCAGCAGAACGACGACGCCGCGATCGCAGAGGATGAAGAGGAGCTTCCGCCTGCCGCTTCTCCGTTCGCTTTTCGTGGCGCCCGAGCGTTGTCTCGCTTGACGCCTGCTCGCTTGGCGGAAACAAAAGGGTCCGAGAGAAACTATCGCGACTCCATGCGAGCAAGCACGCCGGCGAGAACCAGCGAAGAACACGGTTCATCGCCGCATACTCAATCATATATAATACAAGCGAACAACTAGACTGGGTACAGAAGACCGACAAAGCCACAGTCGATCGAATCCTTGCTTAGACTCACCCCGTACTCCCACGTGGACTCGTTCTTGAAAGAACTCCAGCATACGTGCTCATTTGCGCAGCCTTCGATCCATGTCGTGCTCATCGGTTCGTAAACACTTCAGCGAGTAGCCAAAAACTAGGCTGGAAGAAGGCTGCGCAGCGAGTGAGACGCACGCCAAAAGGTTGGAGCAATTCCAAAAGGCCTTGCTATTCATGGGTCCCGACTTGTAGCAAGGGCGTTGAAACTCAACGATGTGCTGGAACTTATGGAGCAGTCTAACTCGTCCGGCTCGACTGAGGAAGACCTTGTGCTGCTCTGGAACAAGGCTCCATCTACAGGAATCTGTGTCGACGATGGCGCAAGCCGTTACAGCTGTCAAATGCCAACAGCACTATAATTTAGGGGTCTACAAGCCGGGATTTTGCAAGAAATAGCTCGAATGCGAACGGCGGACCAAGGAGTACGAGGCAACCCCGTCGATCACGCAAAGAGCATTTTTGCCCAGCGAGATAGACATCTAGAACGAGGCGGTACCGATCAAGCCAACGGACAATATACCATACACGGACCGGAACGACTTAGAGGCATGCAGGATTTATGGCGACATCCAGGGAGGCTTCGGAGTCATGCCCGCAGTCATCGACACCCTCCTCGGACAAACTGGACTCGTCTGGTTGACGCAGCGGAATGACTTTGGTGCGATGGAGATCCCCGTGTACTGGCAGAAGTCGATCATAGCAGGACGTTGCATCGAATACGACCCTAATTCGAACGCGAACAAGTCGGGCATCGTAGAGAAATGGAGGAAGACAAGGTGCATCCTTTCACCGATTGTGGCATTAGGTGCACATCGTGGCCCGAGATTCGAAATTGGAGTGCATTATTACGTTGATGGGTTGATGGGTGCTCGCGAGATGTGTGGTGGTGGTTATTTTGCCAGTGAAGGGGCTCATTCTCGAGCATTTCGAGGATTTTCAAGATATATATGTCCATCTTTGTCTGCCAGTCACTGGTTCTTCGTTCCCCACAACGTCCCATATCTATCATAGTGAATGGTATTGTGCCCGTGGAGTTGGCTATTGAGTCGCCACAGACATCAGAGCTTCAGTCAAGCTTCGACCATCTCGTGAATATCCGCAACCATTCCGGCGGCATGTTGAGGACCCACGAGCCTGTTACTTGCTAAGTCATGGGTGGTCCAAGTCATGAATCCTATTTCAGGTCCGAGGGGCATTACATCTACCGCCCATCCTCTGACTCACAATGTAAGTCACTTCACAACCCGTAGTAGACGCGGTCTTTGAAATATTGAATCGTATTCAAGCCACGAACGTACCCAGCCCCCAAGACCCCCTGATCCACCACCCCCGGCGGCAGCACCGCAAGATAATCCAGCGGCGCCGTCTCTCGGCCATTCGGCACAGTTTCAATCCTCATCACATCGCCCTCCTCAATCGCAACCCTCCTAAACGTGACGCGCGTAGCGGAGTGTCCATCAATCCCCCTCGTAAGCGTGTACCCCAGCCTGTCCTCCAGATCGCCCACCCAAGACCCCAGACTCTCGTCGTTGAGGAACAGCTCGTAGCTCGCCTTGCCCTCGTACAGGTCGTAGTACCCAACAGCAAGGTCGTACGTGCCGGCCGGGTAGTTCAGCGTGGTGCTCACGCTCGCGGCCGTGGTGTTGTCCACGGTCTGCACGATGCGCAGCCCCGAGGCGACTTCGAACGGCGTTACGACCGTGATTCTGTATCCGTTCAGCTGCATGTCCTCCGCCTCGATGCGCCAGGGGTGGCTGCCGACGCGGGCTCTCTCGTCCGCGATGGAGGATATGTTGTGGTAGAACTGGCTGATGGCATCGCGCCACACGATGGCGTGGCCGGCTTGGTACATAAGCCGGAACAACGTCTCGTCGAAGCGCTGCGGGTCAACGAGGCCGACGAGCTTGGCCCACTGCGTCGGGAACGACGCAGCTGTCTCGGCGCCTGCATAGTGCGCGTCGTAGAAGTGCTGAATCACGGTCGCGCCGGTGCTCAGAACATGGGTGTATGGCACGTGGTGGAACCAGAGAAGGAGCTCCTCGGGTGTCGTTTCGATGGTCTCGAATTGCGCGGCGATCTCACTGGGGTATTGTCCCGCGAAGCCGGTGCCGTTCCAGACGGTGCGGTCCATGCCGATGCTGGTGGCGTCGGCCCGCGTCCATTGGCCCCAGGGGTTGTTGTCCATGGATTGCGGGTTCGGGCCGTAGTGCGGGCCGGTGATGTCGGTGAGCGTCTGGATGCCGAGGTTGCCGGTGTAGTTCTCGTAGGCGGGCCACGACTCCATCGACATCTTCGTGATGGTGTCTATGATAGTCTTGTCAGATCCAAATGTGAGGCGCGTCCAATCTTGCAGTATCGTCACTTCGTTGTCGGTAGGGTCCCAAGCGAGCCAACCGTACGCGTACAAATTGGACATGGCAAGGTGAGAGCCGAGCCACGTCGCATTGTGGCCAACGTTGACCACGGCGGCATAGCCAGTGAGTTCCTTGCCGAAGCGCTTGCCAGAGAGAATATCGGTACCGATGACGGATTTCTCGCCATCCACGCGAAGGTCGAAGTTAAGGATTTGCTTCCATAGCGGAGGCAGATACACCAAATGGCATTGCTGGCCGAGGTATTCCTGCGTGACTTGCAATTCAATGGCCGAGGCCGTCTGCTGCAGGTGGGCGAACAGCGGGGACGGCGCCTCGCGGACCTGAAAGTCAATCGGCCCATATTTGACTTGCACGACGACGTTGTCATCGAAATCGCCATCTAGGTCTCTGAAGAAGTCAACGGCCGCATTTGCGCGATCGTCTTTCCAGTTGCTCTCGTTCAGGTTCACACTGTCATAGACAAACGCACGGAACATGACGATACCTCCATGAGGTTTCACAGCGTTGGCGAACAAGTTGGCACCCTCAGCAAGCGTGCGATTGTATGTCAACGGTCCGGGCTGGCCCTCAGAGTTCGCCTTCACGAGATAACCGGCCATATCGGGCACCTTCTCGTAGAGCTTGTTCGTGATGTCACCCCACCAGGCAATGACAGACTCGTCCAACGGACCAAAGGTACTCAGACCGCCAAACGTCTGAGGCGAAGCGAAGTTGAGCGATATGCCGACTCGAACGCCCCAAGGCCTCATCGCATCAGCGATCCTGCCCAGTCCCGCCATATTCTCATCGCTCAGGATGATGGGGTTCGCATTGACGTTGTTGACGATGATACCGTTGACACGGATCGATGCCAGTAGGCGGGCGTACTCTGAGACTCGAGTCGTGTTGGCGACAGTGACGTTCTTCTCAAAGAAAATTGAGAGTCCGGCAAAGCCTCGCTCAATGGTACCATCCATGTTGTCCCATTGATTGACCCATCGAATCGAGGCACTGGGGTTCGTAGCTTTTGTGACCTTGGTGAAATTCCCTTGTCCAAGAAGGGACAAGTATTCGAAGACCCCATAAAGAACGCCGCATTCGTTCTGCCCGACGATCTCGATCGTGTCGCCCTCGGTGTTGAGCCAAAAGCCATCCTCTTCGAGCTCAGGAATGACGTCGGTATCACCACCGGCGGCAGTAAACGCGTCAATGGTTCCCACAACGATAGAAGGGCCATCGACGCTTTCAGACGTCACATCGACTGTCTTCCCAAGGATGCCCTTGATGCCCTTCTGCAGTTCTTGGCCGGCGACATAGACAGGACTGGTCTCGGTGCTGTTGAGGGCGACTATGCTTGACGGGACGATGGCTTGCTTGGTATTATTACCAGGTAACCGCGCGTACCGCAGCCAGCCATTCAACCCGTCTTCTGCAGCCACAAGGCCGAGGGTAGCCAAAATCCACAATCCGCGCATCATTCTGCAACCAGTCGTACGCGAGAGCTCACAGCCTACAGAGCTGCGCGCGCGGTCGTGGCTGTTTATACATAGTCGCTACCCCAAAGCGACGAGCCCTCAATTGGGGAAATGACACGGCAAATTCCCAAGAGCCGGGTCAATGGACAACAAGTGTAACTTAGGCTAAAGCCGCGATGACGGTCCTGGACAAGGTATTGTTTAGGCGGCGACGACATGTCATTCGTGGTCTCCTCGGGATTTCCGCAACAGCGAGTGAAGTGATGTTACTCCGCCTTCCCCGCAGACTGGGGGATCATGGCTCTAGCCAAGCCTTTGGAGATGGAGACGAGGACTTGGTTGAGGCCATGCAAGGGGACGATGGATGAATGTCGGCATTCCTTGCCGATAGGTACACAGTTGCACCTATCTGTGACGCATGAGGATGCCTATGAAGCTGTCAAGCACGCCGAGCATTGCCGATGGGCCTTCTGCCGTGGCTGCGGATCATCATGCTCACTTGATTCTGTTAAGATCGAGAAACGAAAGGTGCTCACGATCTCATAGGGGTGAGAAGATCAAGTGACCCGAGCTGTCTTCCATAGCAATGACTGGACTTGTGTGTGTGTGGGGGGGGGGGGGGGGAGTTGATACGAGGCTGATGCTTCACTGCACTGCGACGCGACATGATGAAATATCGGTGTGCGCGAATGAATCTTTGAGGCTCAACGTCGTGGTAACAGGTAAGGCGAAGCGGCGGTGGACTGAATGAAACACGTGGAATATGTCATCCTTCCCGCATATCTGCCCATGCTGGTAGCTCGAAGGAGACTTCGCAACAAGGCATCTTACAACAACGTTTCGCGAATCGCCGGTGACCACTTAATCTTCCCGTGCCCAAACTCAAAGCTGCGCGCCTGACGATCGATAAAGGTCGCATTGGTCCAGAAGCGGTCATCCGATGGAAAAACGTAAACTCCCGTTGAGTGGCACCATGGAGACGCGAAGCGGGGGCGAGGCTGTAGCTGATTGGACGAGGCTACGGCAATGGGTCTCATCTTATCTCTAAGCGAATCCACACAAAGGGGGCGTGCGGCTGACCTCCTTCCAAACAACAACCCCTCCTCCAACGCGTAAGCTCTTCTCCTCCTCATCTTCATCAGTTGTCCTGGTGGGCGCGTGTTCGACAAGAAGCTCTCCTCATCAAGCAGCGTCTATGGCGCTGCTGCCGAGTCACATTGCGCTTGCTCCGTGGTCGTAGCCCGCCTCTGATAGGGGAAGCCCGCCACGTGTCGTCTTCGGAGGATGACGCCCACAGGCAGCCGTTTGTCACGATGCCATCACTCGGACTGCCACGACCTGCAAGCACTTGCTTGACTGAGCGAGGCCGGCCCTTCCGATGAGTTGGTTGACAAAACTCGGCTCTTGTCCTGTTGCTCTTGGCAATGCTCTGCTCGGGGGCCCATCACATGATAACCAGCTTTCACGCGCAATTCCGACCCTCATCATCCATTCTGGATTGCATCAGTCAACATTATCAAATCTCCAAAGCGGTAAGAATGGCCTTTCCCTGATGTTGACACTCCATGAGCACCAGACGCCCAAAGATGCAGAGGTGTTTTCGTGTATGTACACACATGAACAACATACCCGTATCCCATGAATCATTCCTGCCGCACGACTCTTTTCAGTCCGAAACAATACAATAGGGGGTATACATGGTATCCAAAAGCTTCCTGTGCCACGCTAGGTATGAGCGAGGGCTGAGGGTTTTCTCAACATCAAGGTGTCCAACAAAATCGACAACCTCGACCAAAAACAGAGCCGGGAAGCAAGATGGAAATGAAACAAGACCAGAAAAAAACCAGACGAGATCCCAAAAAGGTCCATCAGACGCCCTTTCGCCGCGGGTGGTGAATCGCAATGCAGGATAGGGTTCCCCTCCCATCAAGTTGCGCTAATCCCAAACGGGCCTAGTAAGATCAGTACTGGGATCCAACAGGTACCTGGTACCTTGAGTGACGCAAGAGGGGGATCGGCACGCGAGGCGGTGCAATGCGAATAGTGGCATGCGAAAGTAGAAGGGCAATATGGGAATCGTTGGATGAGTGCAGCTTACTTTGACTCCCAGAGAACGCCGGCCACGACACCATAACTCCCTCCACATCGCCGCACCTATCGAGAACCGCCACCGAATTGAGCCCCGACACCTCTGAGCGAGTCCGAGGTCGAGGTCGAAGTCGACGCTGAGAATTGCCCCTGTGTGTAACCGGTCCCTAAACGATCGATGTCAGTCCATGTTCCTGTTATCGGGGTTGCGGAAGCTCTACCACCAGCGTATTGGCTGCCACCCATACCGGCTACCGCCCCTAACACGGCCGAGTGATCATTCGAACGACCCGAGCCACCATATATAAGCCTGTGATTGGCTGGCATCTCCGTGGATTGCTCGTATGTACGAAGTCGGTCGCTGGAATAGCTGGGGTGCTCCTGACGCCGGCTGCTCTGCCTGCTACTGTGACGCACGCGTTAGATCGGTGGAAGGACGACTGGGCGGCATCGTGACTCGCGAGACCACTCGGTCATGGCAAGACGATAGGTATATGGGTGTATGACATACGAATGTGAGCCCTGATTTGCTTGCTTTGACCGTTGAGACATGGTGATGACGGTTACGGCGACGTTGTGGCCACGATGACGGTATAGGGAGCGAATGGGTCGCAATGCTGGCGGCGGTTGGGGAAGCAACAGGATGCGAAGAGGGGTGGGTAAGTATGGCGACGCAGTGTGTGGACCGGGTGGTCCAAGGTGGAGAGGATTGTCGACGAGGACAAGAGGGCGGCGAGGACAAGAGGGATTACCTAAATGTAGGTAGGGTGTTGCGAAACTGGGTCGAAGTGTAAGGTAGGAATAGCTAGCTAGCTGCCCCTTGAATGGATGGATTGAGAACAGATGAGGAGCATGACAGACCAGACGGAAGATGAGTCGGGGGCATAGAGGCTTTTAAGTAGTAGAAGTCAAGGTGCGTGTGTATGTGTGCTGCGTAAGAGGAGGGTAGATGGGAAAGAAGGAAAGATTCCGGTCTTTGCTGCCAGCCAAACCACAAAAGACATACATGCGCTTCAGCTCTAGCTCTTGGGGGAGGGATGCCAAGGAGCCACGGTGCGGATCCAGTGCCAACCTCAATGATCCATTGGGCAGCCTGTTGGCCCTGTGAGGCGTGGGCGCCGCCTGCATCCCAAGCGGCGAACCGTCCCAAGCGGCCGAGATCTTACTAGCCCCACTATCTCCCATCTTAGGGACCCGACCTCAATGGAGTGGAGGGCTAGGAGCAGCTGTGTTTGATGTGAGCTGTTAATCGTGAGTTGTTCTGTTGTGGTCGGGAAGTTGGAGCCAGGAGGGAATGGACTCGCCGGGCGTGCTTACAATTGGTGCCGCTCACTGGCTGAGTCTCCGACTTCCAAGTTTGCCGTGACTGATGAATCTCCGTCCGTCACTCTCATCTCGAATGCGATCTTTCGTCCGCCAGGACATTAGGCACCCTACACGGCTTCCGACCAGTGGAAGTTTGCTGGATTCGAGGAAGACGAGCCGTCGCTTACCCTCACCCGCGAACGTTCATTTCCAGGATTAGCATAGGTCTATGTACGGTGCTGTAATGGGGAAGACGGGGACGCACAAGTAGTGTCAGAAGGATCATTAGAACCCCAGACCACATCCTGACGCCTTGCGATGATCGACGGCTCCCATCCCAATCCCAGCTGTCGACAGTGTTGCAACACCCATGTCGTGGCAGTGACTACTACCGGAAAGGCATGCTGTACACCTACCTAGGCGCATCCCAAACTCGAGGGTCCTGGGGCAGTCGTCATGGCGGGCTGGCAGATCCACTGCAGATCAGACGGTCCGTCCTGGTTCGCCATGGAAGGAAGGCAAACGGTTCTTGAAGGACGTCGCCACTGCGCACATATCCTCACTTCTTTGATTGCGCCGAATCAACGCGGCCGCGAATGCGCGACAGCTCATAGGCACTCTGACTCCGCCCTTCCAGCAGTGCATGGTCACCCCAGTATGGGAGCAACTGCGCGCTGTCGTCCCGACATCAGCGCCTGCATTAGTCAACCTTCAAAGTTAAGTCCTACTGACGGAAGGAATCTTCTCGCCTGATCTAAGCGGGTAGCGTGTCACCGTAGATTTACATGCAGTGTGCAATTGCCTAGTAGGCTGGGGAACTGATATGCACGATACCCGCCGCCTGGGTCGAACTTACGTTGTTAATATGGTTACGCGGGGAGTGGCTGGAGTTTGGAGATAGCGACAGCGCGCAATATGGTGTGAAAGGCAAACCCTATAGTAACAAGCCCTCGTGTTCCCGAAGCCATTACACTGCCCTGACTGCGTTACGGCGGCTGCGCGTATCTAGAACGGCTGGCCGCATTGACTTCGGCCCTGTCAACGGCGTGTAGAGCATGACTTCATTGTTGGATCGTGGAATGATACAAATCGAGTCTGAATTCTGGGGCGGCCTCGCTGTGAGCCCCTTGCACAAACGCTGCATGGCGTCAACCTTTGGGTCATCCACGGCCGCAGTGCTTTGGGCCATCCACGGCCACGGTGGCTGCGAGTGATCCTGGCCCCTGGCGTGCTGAAGGAACATGATCATCGGCGGATATCCTAGCGTCGTCACGCTCAATCGACAAAAGCGACAGCAGCCAGCGAAGCTTCAAACCCCTGTTCGCAGGCAATTCTATGGGGCATGATCAAGAGAGGATGAAATACCGAGATAGTTGTAGCGGTCGTCTCTTGGTCTTGGGCGTCCCGGGATCGACGATTGACCGGTTGACCAAGGGCCTAGCTGGAGAACCCTAGATCCGGCTGCAGTGGTGTCAAGCTCGGAGCCCCTTGTCGTCTTTTACGCGACGTCCCCTATTGGCCGGGGACTGGCTAAAGGTTTAGAGGAACTGACTTTAACACTCGACAGGCGAGTGGAAGAACCCTGGCAGGAGAAGGGCCGTTGTAGCTAC